ATACATACATACATAGTGGCAATTTTCCAAATCAAACCACGTTTTTACAGCACTATATCTCCTAATAAACTAATCACTATGTAGAATTTATTATGTTATTTCTATTACTTCAGAGCTCACCAATGCACAAAAGGATTCGTTAAAACAATGGACATCAAGAAGAGATGTACTTTTTCGCACTTCTCTTCATGTATCTTTCTTTCAGTTAAAGTGTGAATTGAATTTCATTACACAATGTTAGGGAAGTGAAACCAATAACCTTATAACCAATTTCTATTGCACTTTAGACATACAAAGTAGTTTCACGAAACCACATTGGACTGCAGGAAGACTAAAATTTTAAGTATCCCTTTGTTTATTCGGCCTACACAAAATGGAAAACTTTTTCATGTAAATATCTAGCCAACACAGTGTACCTACTGAAGTAGTTTCATAAGCAAAGGATGCAACTTTATAATTTTGCCTGTAGGAGTGTAGGCCACTGATAATTAGCCATCTGCACAAACACAAAAATAAATTCTATGTTTGCTTTATGTAATTTTCTAACTTGCTTTATGTTAAACTAAATGTAACATTCAATAATAGTTGGAAGTTTAGGGAAAAAAATACTTAGAACATTCTACTCTCCTCTCCAATTTAACTGCAGGGTGGAAAGCACATCCTATCATTTCCTCTGCTTTGCTTTGGCCTCCTCTACTGGCTTCCTTTTCTCCAAATCCCTTCCTTTCTAATCTTTATTCTGTGGCTGCAATCATCTTTGCCAAACAAGGTTTCAATGCTCTGATGAAATATTTATACCAACTGTGGATCGATGCACAATGAATAAACTGCTGGGACAGCAGAAAGGTCCACCACAGTCTGGACTCGGGTCTTCCTGGAAGCCATTTTGCCCTTTTCTCTCTCTGCTGGAGTCCAGATTCAGTTCAGGTATCTTCAGCCTTCAGGAAAAGGGAGCCTGGCCTCAGTTCCTGGGAAGGGTCTTGGTTGGTCAGGGAACAACTCTCCAGGTGGTGGTGCAGAATACATTAGCACAGTTACTGAGAAAAGAGAAACGTTAATCCATCTCAGGGATTAAAGATGCGGGGTCTCCCTCTGTCACACATACATATAACCTCTCCTGATGCCACCAGGGCTGAAAAGAAAAGGTCCGATTTACCGGCAGCTGTTTGGTGATGATGGAAAGAACTAGATGTAAAATGAAGTTAAAACTAGAAAGCTACAGCCAGGTTATGAAACAAATTCCCAAGATCCTACAAGTTTAATTCACCTTCACTCTCCACTCATACATGCCTGCTACACTTCTTTCCCTTATCCTTTTCCTTCCTTGCCTTTATAAAACTGTCCAGTTCACAAGCTTTCCTGAGCCTTCTATTCAAAAGTATTATCATCCTGAAGCAACATAGCTCTTTTATGTATGCAATGATTAAAATATTTAAAGTATCTGTTTGAATATGCCCTAAACATAACTCAAGAATGGGTAGGATCAAATATTCAGCATGCATTCTGCACATCGCTACAACATTTAAGACAGAGAAAGTGTTTAACAAGTCTTCCTCTTCCTCACTTGTGTGTGTGTGTGTGTGTGTGTGTGTGTGTGTGTGTGTGTGTGTGCTGTGATTTCACTGTGTTACCTATGCTGGCCTCCAACTCCTGGGTTTGGATTATCTCTTGCCTCAGCCTCCAGATTAGCTGGGAATACAGGTATGTACTTTCATTAAGATTTCAATGCGAGTTGGCCATGGTGGTGCATGCCTGTAATCCCAGCACTCAGTGGGGAGGCTGAGGCAGGAGGATCACTGCAAGGTTGAGGCCAGCCTGAACTAACAGTGAGACCTTGCCTCAAAAACCTCAAAAGCAAAGATTTCAATGACTCTTACTTGAATGATACATACTACACTAATATCTGTGTCAAACTATAATGTACACACATGAAGGATACAAAATATTGGATGTGATTGAGCTGCCAAATAAATTTACTCAACTTTCAATTTCTCATCCAAATAGGAATCCAAACTTCTTCAGCCAATCTTTGAAAATCTTCAGCAGGAAGTAAAGACAGATCCAAAATTTCTCTTGTCCTCATAAATCACCTCTAAAGCAAGCCACAGGTCACAAACACAGAAGGCTAACTTCCTAAGCACAGCTTTATTTCAATTCAGAAAGTCTGAGTTTTACATAGTCGTTACCTTCTGCCCTCCACTGTCGTAATGTCCTTTGGGGTGGCTGACCTTCCCACAAACCTTCCACTCTCTGAGGAACTTCCTCCAACCCTAACCCATCAAGTCACTGAACTTCAAAGTCTTTATGATCTACATTGAGTCACCCTAGAGCAGAGCCAGGTCACCCTAGAAACTTCTCACTGGGACTAGAAACTCCAGTGTATTGCAGGCTTCTCTCCTGAGTGTGATTATTATTTAATATTATTCCTCAATTCAATGTTTTTTGCAGATTTCCACTGTTAGAAAAGCTACATAGAATTAAAGCAAGAAGACTTAATAACTCTTGATAGTATCAATGCTTCTCAGTCTGTAGCCACAAAATGTCTCAAAGAAGCAAAGGAATTTGGTCACTAAATTTAAAAAACCTAAGAAGATATTACTAATCTTAATTTTTGCATTCTCAAATTTCTGATTTCCTTTACACAAAGCTATGGGCGTCTTTTAAACAATAAATTTAGACCTCTGATTTCTCCAGGTTCAACTAAGACCAGCCGTTGAGTGCTTAGTTTTGACCTAACCAGCAGGGGTCAGAGTCAGAACAAAAACAACCTAAGGAGGAGTCGATGGAAAGACCTCAGCAGGGTAGTGAGCCAAAGTCAACTGTTTCCAAGCAGAAATAATGTGTGGAGAGCAAACACCTTATGAAGATAGTGAAAAGTGTATGGTTCCCTTGAAAAATCATACCAAGTAACTGTTAAAGTCTGAAAAAGTTCGAACAAAAATGATTGCTGTTTTAAGAAAATGAAATTTTTAAAATTTAAAAATTATAAAATAACTCTAGAGCAGGCTGTGGTAGGTTATGGAAACACATAGAAAAGCTTTCAGTACTACAAGTAGCTTCCCATGTTTTCATTAAGAACAACTTCCAGGGATCTTGCTCTGTAGTGTGTGAGTGTGTGTGTGTGTGTATGTGTGTGTGTGTGTGTGTGTGTGTGTGTGTGTAAGTAACCGCAAGTGATGTCCTGGACATGATTTACCTGTCACATCAGTCTTGATTCCTGCCAGCTTCAGCAGAGGCTCAACTTTCTCATAATAGACCTGGGAGGCTTCTTTCTTGTGACTTTGTGGGTTCAGGAATATTTTTAATGACTTTGGCCTGTCTGAGAAACCTAAGAGGAAGAGGGTAAAGATAAAACGTCTGGTTAGTATTTTTTTCTTTCTCTTTAAAATGACACACTTAAGTCTATTAGAATGTACTTAAAGTTGCTTGCAAATACTTAAACACTATTTCCTACTTTTACTCAGAATACTTCCCAGAGTATTCCTGAATATGGCTTTAACTTAAAATATTTATGCTTTCCCAGCAGTGAAGAGGTTTATTTCTCATGAAAGAAATTATGAGTTGCCACAGAGCATTTAGCTTATGAAGGGAGGTGTAATTAAAAGATTTTGTGAACACTGGGCAATGTTTATGAATGTTTACGAAAGCATGGATAAAGCTATCAAATGTTACTTTCGCACTTGTTTCTGGAGAAAAGTGACGGGCTGTAACAAACAGAAGCTCCTCTTCCTCTCCACAGATAAATGTACTCATTACTGCCATCAGGCACCACAGTGACCCCAGGGCTACTGACGCCTGACCTCCTGATGAGCCCACAGCAGGACCGGGAAGCAGGGAGGGACGCAATCAGCACCCAGAGCAGGGCATGCTGGGAGCCAAGAGGAGGGTTCAGGTCAGAGTTCACGAGGAAAGGGGGCCAGGGGAGAAAAAACTCCTCTCCTGGGAACTGGGAAAGCAACGCCTCTCAGCGGGGAGCCGATGATGGTGCTGCCTCACAGTTGGGGCTGAGATTTGATACTACAATTTTCTGGGCTTGAAAGATGCTTATCACGGAGAACTCAGTTGGAACAGGTGCAGGGCAAATTTTCTGTGGTTAGGAAGGGGCAGGAGCCAAAAGAAAGCTGACAACCGTTTCTGTTACAGTGAGCTGCTCTCAGAGAGCCACCTTCCAAGGTTATAAAAGCGGTTAGTAAAAAATCTGTTTTTAATAAACCATTACCAAAAATGAGTGGAAATGTTCATTACACCCAAGTCAGCATTTCATACCTCAAGTGGAGACAGTGTTCCATTTCTTATCAACTTCGAGTAATCTTCCAACAGCACGTCAAATTTGTTTTGATTTCAGAAGAGTGTTATATGAGGAGGAGGGAGGGCCTTGCTGAGCTCCTTAAACGTTCCCCCTTGACACTGGCCAGGGTCGCCACCCCTGTGGTCTCCTGGGCTGGTTACCTACCTCCTCCAGAGCTTCCTTTCCCCACTTCTGCATGCGAATGAGTGCCCGGGCCCCCGGGATGCTAACGACTTGCTTCCGTGCCTTCTGCGCCATCGCTTTCCATCCTGGTTGTGGGGCACACAGCCCAGGCTGTTCTTCCATCCCACGGCACCCTCCAACATCACAGCCCCCAGCACTGCTTGACTGGTCGGAGCTGAAGGCGGCCGGTGGAGCGAGCTCGGACCCCTGCAGCTGGCACTCTGGGACCGCTCTCTTCTGATCCCATGCCAAGCCAGCACCTCTCCTTCCTCCCCCCACCCACATTTTTATGAAACACTTAATGAGCACGCGTGCTGAGTCCTGGGAAGTAGGTCCAGACGACCGAGACACTGCATGCTTTGGAGAATGAAGACACGCGCGCACAAACGCAGACAGCAGGACCCACAGACTCGGTGACAGAAAGGCATGGACTTTGATCGGAGGGAACGAAGTTGGGCAGTCAATTCTTACTAGGGATTTGGAAAAGCTTCCCAAAGAAGGGAATATTTGAGGGGGCTTTTGACCTACACTGTTTTCACCAAGTATAATTCCTTTTTTCGTTATATCTCACTTCTTAGAGAACAGCAGGGGTGGAAATTGTAGGCAGTGAGAACAGGCTAAGCAAAGGCTAAGTTAGTATAAGGGAGCTTTAGGATCCATTTCTACTTCCTTCCCATAGTCCAGGCCACCTCATTATTGCCCAAGTCTGCCAGGCTTTCCTTTGTTCAGGACTTTGCAAAATTCTACCACTTCTACAAAGCTGGGCAGCACGCCCTCAGGGAAGCCTGACCTAATCATCACCAGAGTGACTCCTTGGGCTTCTCTGCTCCACGTAGCTCAACTTCCTATTTCCTACACCGTGTTGTACACAAAGTTCTGACGTAAGACCCAGTATCTTGAGAGTTCCACTGGCCAATCCTGGGACAGCATCAATGCAATGACAGTAACACATTATATTACATTGAGCCTTTAAACACTCAATCCCATTAATGACACTGACACCAGAATGAAGGACAAGAAGGGAAAAATTTGTCTTCTGGTAAAATAACTATAACTATATATGTATGTGTGTGTGTGTATATATATATATATATATATACATATACATATATATACATACACACACGTTATAGTTTTAAAAATCACTGTTTTTAGTCATCAGAATAATAACTAATTCAGGCAAGAAGTAATAGATATTAAAACACGTGGTGAGAATAAACTTGGAATAAAATATTTACATGTTATTAAACTGTCCCTTCTCATTCCTTATTATCCACTTTTAAAAAATGGTAAAGAGAGGACAACTAAGTACAACGTCTGATTCAAGTTAGGTTAAAAATGGCTATAGCCATTAACCAAGCAGGATGAAGTATGTAAAGCCCAGAATTATTTATATTAAAATACAATGGGGACAAAATAATTAAAGCTCTAAATCTCAGACATCAAGCATCACACAAAATGTCTAGATTGTTTACCTGATATATTTTTCACCGTTTTTACACTATTGAAATGTTCTTACACCATTTCATTTTCCAAGGAGTGGCAGTCACAGAAAGAATACTGTTATCCCGGAAACCACTTTTATTCCTTCCTCTTTCTACATTCATGTTTTTTCACAAACCACCAAATGCTTGCAATATGCCAGGCAGGGTCCTAGAAACTGAGGCTGGGTAAAAAAAACAAAACAAAACAAAACAAAAAACCCTGCCTTTTGACGCTTCCAGCGTCATGGCAGGAAACAGAGACGAGAGTATGCAGGGGTGCTAAATTCTAAGTACAAAAGCATTAAGCTCAGCAGCGGATGAGAAGGAAGGCAAAAGAGGAAGTGATGTCCTAACCAGGGAAGGTCAGCTGATCCAGGCTCATTCTCAAGGGCTCAATCTTCTATTGGCTAAGAGACACACGGTGACTTCTAAGCAACATGGCCACCCAACCTTAGGTGTTTACAGGATCCCCCTGGCTGCTGTGTGGGCAGCAGCCACAACAGAACCAAGAGCTGACACAGTAAGAGCAGCTGCATCTTTCTACCTAGGAAATGACTGTTCTTTCACCAGAATAGGTACAGTGGAGAGTATAGATTGTAGATTCCTGATATGTCTTGAAGGCAGGGCTAACAGGATCTATTGACCCTTTCGGCATAGTATTTGAAAGAGAAGTGTCAAGGAGCAGTCAAATGGTGGGTGGATAAAGGGGAAATGAAGTTATAAAATTAAAAAAAAAAAGACTGGTGACAAACTGGTAGAATGTATTGTTGAAGTTGGGGTTGAAGATTTGAAAAATGCCTGGAGTCAATCTGGTGGGCTAGGAAGACCAAAAGCAGCAGGGGAGGGGAGGATGCCTAAAAGTGAGACTGTTTCTGGTAGTGACAGTAGGAGTCTGTGGCAGAGTAGCAGACTCATTGGAATTGACTGAAAGGCTAGGGCTTCTTAAAGCATGGATTCTAGGCTCCTGTCCAGAGTTTTGGGGTCCGCTTATGCTAGGTTGCAAATGATGCTGATGTCATTCTGGGGACTGAGTCTGCAGAACCACTGCTTCAGAGGAATGATTGAGGGTGGATGTGGATGAAGTAAATTGCAAGTCAAGATTTCTAGAGAGGAAACCAAAATATTCAGAGACCATTTACAAACACACCTACGACTATCACAAGAGTAGTATTGGAGTCAGTGACAGTGAGACAAGGGCTTAAACTCTTAAGGAGTAAAAAAAATGACCTTATGTACAGGTTTAAAAGTAGTCTGAGCTAGAAGTGTTGGACCAGTGGTAGAAAGTATGGTAGAGAAAACAACCACCCCTTCAGATGATAGTTGGGGAAGCTTAAAGTCTTTGGGAGAGCTGGGTCTCTTTACTAACGCAAGGAACAAGGGGAATATTTGGAAAAGTGATTGAAAATATAGGAGAGTTTGCTAATAAGCACTGTTCATTCCAGAGGGCAGGGTAAAAATGGTGTCATCATTGAGGGGATGAGAGGATGGAGTCAGGTGAGAGGATACACAGAACTTTAGAAGAATGGCCAGGTGAAGAGCCCTAGACATTGACATGCATTGCACAGAATTCAAAATGCCTCATTCAGCCCATTCCCTGATACCTAGGTTTCCTCTTGGGAAACAAGCTCTGATAACACTTTGAGAATTCTTCCAGAAATCGTCTACAAATACACCAACATATATGTGTGCATTCTGTGGCTTTGCATCTATATACACTTTTCTGTATGTTGCTTCTTTCTACTATATTTTAAAAAGAATTTAATATCACTACATAGTACCCCATCTCAATCTATTTAAAGTGGTCTAGGGTTCTTTATCCTGGATGAATTTCAGCTTATTAACCAGCCCCCTACGGTGGATATTTAGATTGTTGCTGATCTCCAAGTAATATTACAAGGAATGTTATTGGCATCTATTTGATGCAAAATAGAAAACCTGTAAGACATATTTCTAGAAGCAAATTCATTGCTTCTTTACTTTACCATATATTGTTAATTGTTTGGGCACAGTAACAATTTAAAAGTTATGATCCCGCCCCAAAAAATGAAAGTTCAAAGAAATCTTAACTGGTCTTAAATCCTGACTTTGCATTTACAAACTGTATCCCTTTGGATAAGGTAACTACAACAAATAAAGTATATAGTGTTTATGAAAGTGATTGGAAGAAAGTATTCAATAAATTTATTTCTTATTACTACCAATTTACACTCTTACCAGAAACTAAAACAATCTGCTGTCTTGTATCTTCAGATATAATAAAAATTAACATAAATTCAAATAGAAATTCAAGGTATTTTCAAGCTTTTTAATCTGACAAAGAGGTAAAAAAATATACTTCCCCGTAATATAACTTTTTAATTTCTATTATGAAGA